TTTAGGCATTTTTTTATATTATAAATAAATCATGCCAAACACATATAATTCATTTAGGTAATCTTATGAAATTAACCCAATAATTATAAGCAATATAGTCGGTCATCCTCACCTTAAGTGAGCTTAAGCGTGTTCTACGCTCCGCGGTTGAACTTTGACTATTTCCGGTGAACTTTGACCAACTCCGGCCAACTTTGACCAACTCCGGCGAAACTCCGGCGAAGCTCCAAAAATACTTTAATCAAGTTCCTAACAAGGTTTTAACATCATAAAACCTTAATCAATACAAATAACCTCTAAAAGGTTATTTTCCGGTAAACCGGTCGTTTTGGCTTCTATGTCCGTTTTTGGACATAGAACCACCTTCCAACCCATCATTCTACACTATTAATATGGTAGAATAATACTTGGGTTATCCTTATCATTTTGAATAATAATCTCTTCAAGAAAAGGAGGAAGGAAGTAAGTGAACTCATTACCTAGTTTTTCCTCACTTTTAGCACTTTAGCTCCTTTTCTTGAGGTTCTTCCTTGTAGAGTTCTCTTCAACAATGGAGGATAGGCTTGAGAGCTCCCTTGCTCTTGATGGATGGATGCTGGCCGAGAAAATGAGAGGAGAGGGGGGTTTGGGGTTGTCTTTTGTCTCATTGATCAATGAGTAAGGATGAGGGCCCATCCCATTTTGTTTGATGCTTTCTCCATCACTTCACACACATCTCTCATGCTTCTTCTACCACACCAGCCGGCCAAATCATGAAAAAATGTGGCTAATTTCGTGGGTTGGCCCCCACCCATGTGGGAGGTCAACCCCTTTTGTCCAGAAGTGTACACTTTGTCCCGAAAGTTGTATTTTTCGGACAGTTTTAAATATATTTTATTTTATCGGGTCAAATAAGATATATTACATGTTCCCAATCATTATGACCCTTAAAATGAATATACATTTCCCAACTTAAATTTATAGGTCTCCGAAATCCAATTTCGGGCTTTTATCGGTTAGATTGCCAATACCGGTATTTGGGCCTCTTTTGACCAATCGGTCAACTCAAGACCTTTCCATGGTTCAAAAGAATTATCCACCCCCATATAAATATTATCTAGACCAAGATGAATAATTTATGTGGTCCCGGGAATATCGGGCGGCCCCCGCTCCCGGTGCGGGCCCCACGCGCGAACTTACTATTCACGCAAAAATTAATAAAAATTCATAACCTCGTAAATCCGTCAACCATTCCAAAAGGTTAAAATACAATATTCACTTTAAAAGTAAATACATTTGGGGACGGTGTTACAATTAGAGTTACAAAAAATCACATGTAATATTTTCTCGAATAGCATCTATGCGTGCAAACGCGTTAAGTCGCTCGGTCAAAAATCAACTCGACTTCGGTCAAACTTGAACTTGATTTCTTTCAGCTCGTGAATTGCAAGCCAGAGTGAGCCACAACATAATATCGTAATATATATTTTGTGTGTTTATATATATTATAGAAAATATCAAATGGAAATGGAGAACTTAAGATTCATAGGAAAATTGGAGCAAGAGACAAGAAAACTATTACAGTCACAACAAACTGAAGTCTTTTGCAAAATTTGAATTTAAATATACAAAAAAAAACTCATTGATAATATTGATCATAATATTATATCAATACAATGAAAGTAAGCTTTGTATCCCCTGTTGTTTCATTACCCCTAGTCCGCTCAATCTTTCTTCACTTAGAGCGCACATATGGCTTGGTGTGATTGTGAGGGACAACCGAAGCCAGACTAAAGTGTTTTATAGCTTTATACGAGTTAAGTGGACCTCTGAATAGGAGCGTGTTCTACCCAAATTATAAAACCCTAAGAGCTTGCTGATCAAATGTCTCCATAACGTTCTCGATCCTTACCCTTGCAGTTTTGATGAACCTCCATGCACGAACTTTAATTGGTATGACTTCGTAGGCCATGAAGGCCATGACATCATCTTTAATAGTGTCCACCAACACAACAATCTTGCATTCCTTTCCCGAAACGAAAGGCATTAGTCTAAGGAGAGAAAGTGGGGGCATGTTTATCTTGCTCATGAACATGCGCTTCTAATCACAACATCGAATTTGCTTCCGGATCTTCTTACCAGAAAATCGATAGAGCTTCATAAGAAGCTTCAAGTAAACATAATTGGATTTTGACTTTGTGTGCATAGTCTTCTTGCTCTTACCTCCTACTTTTCAGATCGATACCATAATTGCGCTCCTTGAAATACCTTATGTGGCCAAGGTGGGATACACACACATGTAGACACACACATATTATTTTTTATTTAATTATTTATTAGTGTGTATAAATATATTATTAATGATATCAACAATATATAGTTTATTCTTAGAACAGATTTGAGTTGGAGCTCTAGCATCCTATCCAAGACATAGACATAGACATAGACACAGACACAAACACAGACACAAACACAGACACAAACACAGACACAGACACAGACACAGACACAGACACAGACACAGACACAGACACAGACACAGACACAGACACAGACACAAACACAGACACAAACATAGACATAGACTGTAACACCCCGCCCCGTAGGGCCAGAGGTGTTACAGTGGTATTAGAGCAACCCTGCGACAGTGTGCGGATCCGTTGGATATCGGACCGACACTTAGCAGGTGAAAGATTCCAGAATTTAATTGAGATTCGTCAATGGGCGCAACGAGAACATTGCGTTCCTAAGTGGGGGTGATTGTAATACATGAGATTAATTTAAGAGGATTAATAGTACTACTCATATCAATAGAGGTGCATCTTCTTTTAAGGGAGCTCATCACCCAAGACGGGAGAAGTCTTGGGATGGGTGACCCCTTGAGAAGTTTCTCAGGGCGCGCATGAGTGAGGACAAAATGTGTGGTAAAGGCTCGTGGTGGGTTGTGAGGACAGTACTAAAGGTATGGAGTAACTACATCGGGCCCTACGGGGCGGGGTGTTACATAAACATAGACAAAGGCATGGGCATCGGCATGGGCATGGACATGGGCATGGGCATGGGCATGGCCATATCTAAATGTAAATGTAAATGCTAACATAAACATAAATACAAATATAAATATAAATATAAATATAAATATAAACCTAAATATAAAATGTCTATCTCTTAGACCTTGTTATTCCTGCCCAGTGTTGGAGCACACAACTTTGCATTAAATATGTATATACAACAAACATGGACTCATTGATAAAAGTGGCTATGTAGCTAGAGTTACGACATTAGAATAACTCTTCTTCAATTCCTTTCCATTTATGTGTGAAAATGAAGAACTAAGAGGAATACTATTAATCAATTGGATATATATAACTTGCAGAATAATAAATCTTTTATAGGAATTGTAGGAATAAGAAAGGCAAGTCTAATAAATGATCCGGTTTTAAGGAAACCCTAGGCGTCGAGCTCCTGGACGATCTAATCTACTTGTTTCCCCTCTTCGATTGGCAAGAGTTTTGATGATTGTGATGTTCTTTAGACAGTAATGAATCAAAGGTTTTGCTATGTTGTCCCTTTTTTAATTTTTTCCTTGTAGGGTTCTGGTTTTAGTCTGATATCTTCTTTGGTCAAGAGTTATATCTGTTTCAAGTGAGTGTGAGATTTGTTCTTCTCCTAGCAATGTTTAGAGGTAGTGTGTTCATCGTTAGTGTAACTGATCGGGTGGTGAAATTTCATTGTTCGTTAGCCTATTTCTTCTGAAGTTTCAACTACTTGTCCTCCTCTTGAACCTCCACCTCAATTTGAACTGAGAGATAGTAAGTGCTCAACTGAATCTCATTTCCAGTGGATGATCAAATCGAAGGTTCAGCCAATTTCAACTCGGTTGAGTTTCCTTTGTCATTTGCTGATCAAACCAAATCTTCATTTCTAACACTTAGTGAAACCGGATCTTTTATTTATATTTTTTCATTTCCTTTAATTTGGAGTAGCAATAAGAACAACAAGATTGTTAGACTATATACTACATTATTGCAGGAGTTAGCGATCTGGAAGGATTTGTGGGATATTTCCGTTATTTGGAGTAGCAATAAGAACTACTGTGTTGAACTATACTACTTTTTTCCGACGTAGTTCGATTTGCTCGTCCGTTTCGATGTCATCACATTTGAGTAGTTCAGTTTCTTTTATTTTGGATGTTGGGTGGTCGGCGATGGGGTTCGGGTCTCGTTCCGAAGGTTCCATAGCCACAATTGCTCGATGAAGACCGAGCTTCCCAGCAAGGCGCTATCGCCCAAATTCAAAGTGGATTGGGATCGATTGAGAGACAAGGTAGTCATGGTTTGGCGGCACTGTGTGGCGACGGAAGTCTCGAGATAAAAGTTGGTCGGTAGAGCAAATGGTTGCGGCAGTTAGGGCATTGCGGCAGAGCATATGACAATGTAACATCGTCCCCAAGTATATTTACTTTTATGTAAATTATGTATTGAACCTTATGAAATGGTTAGTGAATTTACGAGGTTGTAAATTTTTGTTATTTCTTTTGCGTGAATAGTAAATTCCACGTGGGGGCCACATTCGGAGCGGGGGGTGACCCGATAACACGAGACCACATGTTATATCCATCTTGGTCTAGATAATAGTTACATGGTGGTGGAAATTCATGATGGGCCATAAGAAAGGCATTGGGTTGACCGGTTGGTCAAATAGAGCCCAATTACCAGTACCGGCAATTTATAAGATAACAGTCCGAAATGAATTTCGGTGACTTTTAAATTAAAGTTGGAGGATGTAGATTCATACTTAAGATCCATAATGATTGTGAACTTGTAATATATTTTATTTGATCCGATAAAATAAAATATAATTAAAACTGTCCGAGAAATACAACTTTCGAGGCCGAATATACAATTCGGGACAAAATGGGATGACCTCCCACATGAGTGGGGGCCACCCCACGTTTTTGAGAGCTTAATTTGACTAAAGGGGTGCTGCACAACATAAAGATGTGGTGTGGAGTGCATGAGAGTGATGGTTGGTGTGTGGATGACATGAGGTGGCTCCCATCCCATACTCATTGGTTCATTGAAGACAAAACTAGTCATCCCACTCCCTCCCCTCCATTATGCACGACCCAAGAACCAAGAAGGAAGGAAAGAAGCTCTGCAAATTCATTGCTCCATAGCCAAATTCGAGCTGGAGAAGGCAAAGTCTAAAAAGGAAGATTGAAGAGAGAAAAAGTGAGGAAAAGCTTGGATGATTAAGGTAATGATTCCATAGTAACTTTTTCTTCTCTCATGGAACTTCATGTGACCTTTATGTCACATATGAAGCACCCTTAGGATGGTTCTACACGCCCAAAGTGTAGAACGATGGGTTGAAAGGTGGTCCTAAGTCCAAGAACGGACTTAGAGGCCGAAGAGACCGGTTCGCCGGAAAATAACCTTTTAGAGGTTATTTGTATTAATATGGGTTTTGTGATGATAAAACCTTGTTAGGCACTTGTCAAAGGTGATTCAAGAGCTTTCACGAAGTTGAAAGAGTCGCCGGAGTTTTGCCGGAGTTCGTCAAAGTTCGCCGGAGTTCAACAGAGAAGGGTAGAACTTCATAACGATCATTCGAGGTGAGTGGACGGCTTAATGTCTTATAACTCTTGGGTTAAGTATGAGATTACCTAAATAAATGTTATAAGTATTCATAATGATGTTTAAAAGAGTTTAAACATGTAATTAGCCAAGATAATTAGGCTTATGTGAATAAAACTACATGATTATGCATGTGAACAGTATGAAAAGTGTATAAAAACATTTGTGATGTTTTGGATGACCAAAATGGCATTTATTGGTTGGTTTAGACATGGTATATGTTGTATAAAAACTTCGGGCCAAACGGAGCACGTTTCGGGGGTCAACTCGGGGGGTCAACGGGCCGTTGACCCAAGGTCCCGGACATAACCGGCGCCGGTTATAGGGCATAACCGGTGCCGGTTAAGCTACTGCCACCGGATTCCGTTTTCGCCGAAAATGCGGTTTAGGGTCCGGTTCGAAGGGGGGATTAACCCCGACCATCCTATATAAGTATATTATGCATGGAATTGCATGGAATATGATATTTAAATGCCAAGGTTTGATACCTATTGATTTAAATTCTAAGACTTGGTTTAGTCCTTAGTAAGATATGATATAGACTCTATCTAGTGTGATATGTGGTAAGTCATAGGTCGGGTGGAGTACCCAGGGATCGGGCATGTATCCTCAAAACTCGGTTATAGGGTGGAGTACCCAAGGATCGGGCGGTTATCCTCAAAACTCGGTTATAGGGTGGAGTACCCAAGGATCGGGAGGGTATCCTCAAAACTCGGTTATATGGTGGAGTACCCAAGGATCGGGCGTGTATCCTCAAAACTCGGTTGTAGGATGGAGTACCCAAGGATCAGGCGTGTATCCTCAAAACTCATAGATTACATTTTAATGATTTAGGACCGGGTGGTGTCCTTATGATAATTGATTTGAACAAGGAGAAGTTCTATACACTCATAGGTATATGGGTGGGTTGGGATTTAAGTCAAGGACATTGACTACTATTATTTTCCAAGTAAACAACGACCTAAGGGGTGGGTATTTCCAAGTGCATATATATACTAATATATATTTAAAAACTTGGGGGGAAGACTACACGTATATGTATCACCCTATGTTTGGGTCTTATACTTGAAACGTTAGTGTTGGGTTAATGACCCAAGTTGGGATTCGGCCCATTTACCCCTTCTCCCGGATGTACGTCCAGATAGATTACTAAGCTAGCCTGGCAGGCCCATTTCCCCCCGGAGGGACGAACGTCTGTAGTTGGGGTTTGTTCAAACGGCCCATCTCGATGAGCGTCTATGCAGGGACAGGAAGCAGGACCACAGGCCACCGGAATGACGACGAACGTCGTCAGGGCAAGCCCCTAGCCATAGGGGGTAGTCTAGTCCACATGGCGAGGATCCACAAAGGCCAGGGGGACGAACGGCCGATACCCCTTGGAGGCCACCTGGAGCAATCTGGTTTGCTCCTCTAGCGGACGAACGTCCCCACTAATTAGGCGGGAAACCTAGATTCTGGCGGGAAGCGCATTTAATGATGAAGATTTGGTGGTTGGGACACCAGCGAACCACAGGCTTCCACGTCAGTATAGCCACCTGCCCATTGGTGGGTATAAATAGAAGCATTTATTTCATTGTAAAGGGTTGACAACTTTCTATTCTTAGCAGTCTAGCTATAGTATTCTTACTCGCAGCACTTCTACTGCCTTGTAAGACGAACGGCCGACGGAGCCTTAGCGAAAAGTATTGTATTAGGGAGTTATTAAGAGATAATAATACCTAATCACTTACTTGCTACCTTATTGTTTCTTGATCCTTATTACTTGCTAATTGGGCTAGTTTACTCATACTCACTCCACTCGAAATCCTTGGGCTTACGTGTTGGACCCGAGGGTTGAAGGAATAAACCTCAACAGTTAGTTATGCTACATTTAGCCTGCTACTCGCTCGGTACTTGTACTGACCCCTTCGGGGGGGCCACCATTTCAGGTTGAAGCTCAAGCTTGATATCCCCACCTTGCTCGGTGAAGTGATCTAAAAGAAGACGTGGTTCGTGCTTCCTTTACTATTTTAAACTATAAACTCTGCTCATGGATACTTTGTAATAAATACATTTGTTTTGGGCCGAGTATGGTATGGACCATGTTCATAGACGCCTTGTGTGACTAAGTCACGTTGACTCGCGGGTGACGTCATTTAGTCCTACGACGGTTGTACACGCGCTCAGATGCGGTACGGGGCGTGACAGACAACCTGAATGAGGATAAGGGAGTATAAAGGCAATTCAAAAACCTGGGTGGGTACGTAGAGGCTGGAAAGCATAATGAGATGGCTCAAGCGGATCAAAATCATAGCCATTCGAAGGAAGTGAAGATGAACCATAACCTTACAATGTTGAAGCCCAAGATTGATGGCAAAAATAAAACAGAGTTGAAGCGAGCTCTGAATTACAGGCTCGCCAAAAAACTAAAGACTCGATGTGCGGGTTTGGCACATTAATTTTTCTCACAGCGTTTGATTTTGAACAATGTAGTGTTTTAACTGTTTTTACATTTGCTAGGTTTTGTTTTTGTTTTCCCTGGCATTAGGGCGTGCTTTGTTCTAGTTATTTTCTTGAGATTAGAGGTGGATGTTTTGAGGAGTAGGTTCCTCCACTTGGTCATAATAGGCAAGTTACCCATTTAGTGGTTAGCGAGTTTTTGTGTTATTTCAAGCGCAAATAACTCTATATTCAATCATAGCGTTTGTGACCGAATTGAGAGTGCTTGTTTGATTGATGGTCTGTGAGTTTTTTATACATCAATAATATAAGTTTTTTCAATTAAAAACTATTTCCAATAATTTACGATGGAAGATTTATGGGATTTATGGGATTTCAACACCAATTTGGATATTTGCAATAAGGCGTTGCAGGTGACGAGGGAGAACTACTTGCCTACGAGCAATTTGAATATGCTGATGAATACCTAAAGAAAGAGGAATCAACATTCACATCGTATGAGAACACGATTTCAAACTCGCACAGAGCACTGATGCTTTTCAATAAGGGCTTAGGGAGAACGAGGTTCCTTTGATGGGGTTGGCTTAGGGATCAGGGGGTTCTTTTGATGGGGCTTCTGTATACTCCGGGTTGTGCTTTTATCTGCTCGTTGCTCTCCTTTTATTTCTTTCTTCTTTCTTTCTCTTTTTAATTTCCTTCTTCCGTCTTGTACTTTTTAGCGTTCTCTTTTCTTTAATAAAATGTGTCCTTTCCTAAAGAAAAAATCATTTCCATATATCTGTGTACATCATTGTTATTTACTTTCCAACAATGCTCCATCATCGATTAAAAAAGAAATTTTCCATTTTAGTTTAAAATGTTTGTTTGATAATAAAGTATACTCCTTTCATAGAATTTGCAATTACGTGAAGTATTAAGTTGTAGACAAAGAACCTGACGGACTTGTTGCGATTCTTCAAGAAGATCAGCCATACGGAACATGTCACGATGAGAAAACATATCAGATAAATCATTCCATATTGTTGCAACTCTGTCAAAATATAGAACCGATTCTGCAATGTGCTGAGGCAATGATCTAGTAAGCCATTGATAAGTTCGTATTTAGACACGCATTTGATGCGTGTTGAGATCGGCTTTTGATGGTTTTCCTAGATTTAAGGTGTCACAAGTCTCAATTTTAGCTCATTTTATGTTTAACAGGCGTTGGTTCGAGTTTTGTGTCATTTGGAGTAAAAATCAGGATTTTAGAGTTCGGCACCGGCGCTTGAGGAACAATCGGGATGAGTTGAGAAGCATTTGAGATTGATTTGAGAGCTTTGGAGGTCACCGGGAGGTTCACAATGAAGATTTGAAGGAAAAAGAGCTCTAGGATTGGCTTCGGGATCAAAAGAAGATGAATGAAGCTTGAAAACGACGATCAGAATGACCTTCTGTCAATCGTTCAAGCATATCTCTTTGTAGGAACAACCAATGGACACGATTCAAGTTTTATATGAAATCCAACTTCAAGGGATACAAATCATATGAAGACACTATTACGAGAATATGAGAGCAAGAAGGTGAAAACAGACGATGAAGTCAAATGATCTCTGCTGCGATTTCAGAATGACACCTTCCACCGTTTTGTTAATATCTCTTGATTGGATGATTCAAATCACATTCTGCAAATTGGGGTGGATAGAGTACTTCATTATCTACAACTTGCATGAAGGAAGTTTTGTCAAATTCGAAAGTTTGACGCACGCCGTGCGTAGGGGAACGCACGATTGTGCGTCTGGGGCGAGAAAGCAAGAGGGCCACCGCCACGTACGCACGATCGTGCGTGGCAAGGTACGCACGACCGTGCGTACCCCCGAAACACGGATTTCAACCCCTTTTTAGTCCCAGTCCAGCCCAAACTCATATGTTTTCTATAAATAAGAGTCGTAAGACCCTCATACCCATATTTTGACGTTACGAACATTACGAAGAGGTCTAGGGACGAATTTAACATCGTTTTTACGCTATTTTCTTCCAAGACCCTGAGATTATTTGTAAGTTCATCTTTTTAATCAATGACAATTTATTCTATTCTTCTCAATTCTGTTGATTCTTCAATTATGAATTGTGAGTAGTTTAATTAGGGATTTGGGGTTGATGCAGGGGTTAATCATGATGTATGGCTAGATTCTTGACGGTTTAATTGCATGAATGTCGTTTAATTTGTGTGTGAATAATTTAATTGATATCTCTTGTAATCTAGAACGCGCGCTAGAATTACAATTGCTTGTAGAATAAATTAAGAGAGATCTAGTTTATTTTAGGACACATTCACACACACTTAATCGTTCACTAAGAGTTTAGTAGCGATTACGGGGCCGTAAGCTCGCTCGTCTTGGCAATAATTTAGGATCCTGTCGCATGAGAGATCAGCCTGGTCCCCTAAATTATTGTACTCTACGCCGCGAGAGCGGTAAGAACTTAGTAATGATTAGCTAGGCTCAATTAAATTAATTTCATGTAATTAGGCCTGATCTGCCAGAAATCTGGTTACCCCGGAATGAATCCATGTTCCCTTCGTCGTTAATTAAGAAGAAATCAATCTTTTATTTTAATTGCTCATTCACATTAGTTTAATTTTCCAACCCAATCATATCTCGCACGACGCATTATTTATTTATTTATTTATTTTTAATCGTTGAATTTAGTTAATTCTTAATTCCCTTTTGTCCGTCCCTGTGGAGACAATACTCGTACTTACAACACTATATTACCATCTTTTTAAGTGCGAGAAAACTCACATTAGCCATGCACCTCCTCCATGGTTCACAAAGAGTATCAATGATGGGAGAAGGGAATGAACCATCAACGAATCGATCCTTGTTCTTGGATTCAAGCATAGCAAGCATATGATGACGCCATGAATGAAAATTCTTCTTAGTGAGAAGAAGTGGAACAAGAACGAGAGTAGGATTTTCATTTGGATGAAGAAGTAATGGATTAGATGAATTGACAAGTTGATCTCGAGTTGAATTTGAAACTTCAATTTTGGGTCGTGTAAACACCATGATGACAGATTAAAACGTAGTAAAATGCGTTCAGATACCATATTAGCACATATAAAAAGGGAAACGGGTGAAGAAAAACCTGTATTATTGTATTAGTCGGGAAAAAAGCCAAAATGTCTGTACATGAAGAAGAGAAAGATATCTACATAACATTGTAAACATTCCCACTAACTTTTAACAAACAAAAATAGAGGGGTAGGCTACATGCTACTCTACGTAAGTGTATATACGCCTACATGTAGGGTATGTTTGGCACAACTAGTTGAAAAGATACTTTTGTGAGCTTTTTAGTAACTGTTAGCTTTTAGTGACTGAAAAGATCTTAAAAAGAAAATGTGATAGCTGTTTGGTAAAAAGCTGACTGTTTGATTTAGTTCGGTTTGGTGTACAAGCTGTTAGGACTAATTAATACTAAAAGTCATGAGCTTTTCTCAGATGCTACACCCGGTAGCATCTCAAAAAAGATCTTTTAATTTTTGAAAAGCTCTTAAAAATGTCATGCCAAACATACAACTAGAGTCTTTTAAAATCTTTTTAAAGAAAAGAGAAGCTAGAAGGCAGAGGCTTTTGTGTGCCAAACATGGCCGTAAACATGCATAAGTTGGGGGTTGTTGATTTTTTTGACTATTAAGTCATGTCTAGATTAAGACATATGTTTGGGTTAAGATGTCTATCTGGATTAAGTGATATTTGTATATAAGGTTGTTTATTGTGTGTGCTGAATAAAGAGTGAATCAAATAAAATAATCAATTTAGTATTATTCTTAGATTATAATGTGAATAAAAAAACTTCATTTATTAATATAGATTTTTTCCACAATCAATTTAAAAAAAAAGTGGCAGAAAAAACGTCTTAACAAACATCTTAATGGCAAGGACTGCTATTATCCGGTTAATGATTAATTTAATTTTTTGATTGAATGATTAAGTAATGTTTACAATTAAGTCGTAAGTAAACATGGCTTAATGGTTGCATGATTAAGTTGTCATTGTCATTAAGTTTATTAAGTCCTAAGTAAACAATTCCTTAATAGGTTTTGAACATGGGAAGAAGTTTAGGGCCTATTTACTGACAGAGATATTTTCCAGTTCTCTATTTATGTTTTCCGTTCTAAAATTTTCTATTGTCATTTTCCCGTTTTTCTATCTCCAATTTTCTGTTTTCATTATTTCGTTTTCCATTTTCAAATATGAAAACAAGTTCATCAAACTTTTTCACCTGATTTTGTGACCGACTAGAAAATCGAAAGTATGGTACCAGTCCGAAACCGAACCTAGTACAACCCAAGTAAAGTACCAGGTCCCACAAATAGGAAAGTCGAAATCGAAACCAGCTGGTCCCGACCGATCTCAACGGTTAGTTTTACGAATCCTTTTCTCATTTCCCTATTGGTTGACAATTCAACGGCTCTTTTAAAACTCTTCACTTTAAAAATAATTTCAAAAAACCGAGACCGAACCACCGGGTCATTGACCGGCGCGGGCAGGAACTATCGGGTCATTGACAGGACTGGCCGAGGATCGCCCGGTTGTCGATCGGACCGAACACAGATCGTCGGGTCATTGGTCGGACAAGATAGGGACCACCGGATCGTTGATCAGATGAGACGGGACTGATGGGTGGTTGATTGGACAGGGCAGAGACCGCCGAATAGTTGACTAGACCGGACGGGGACTGTCGGGTCATTGACTAGACCATATCAGACCCAGATTGCCCGACCATCAACAAGGACGAACAGGACCATATCAAACCCAGATTGACCCAGATTGTCAAATATATCTCTTAATTATCAAAATTCTTTAATTGTACCATCAATACCTATGTACGTTACTTTTTCACAATCACTCATGGTAATTGCTAAATAATACTAAATAATGATGTTAAATAATGATAAACTATTTATTATGGTGAGGCTGAATTATAGGAACTTTGTCAGGAGAAAGCTTATATGGAATACAGAGTATATGGAATTGGTACAGATTTTGTGAGTGTCATAGCAACAACCAAAGAATCATGTTCGGTGATTGTTTCCAAAACAATAAAACATCATATTCATCATATCAACGCCACTTTTATGGTCACTCAAATTAATTACGGACTATCAATAATATAATCACAAACTGATTTGCGTATTATTATTATGATATATGATATGATATATGATATATGAATTGAAGTGAAATGAAATCAATGAGTAATATACATTAAATTAAATAATAATATATATTAAATAATAATAATATGGAGTAATTCCGTATTATCTGCCCTTACTAAGTACTATAAAAGGACAACTACTTTTCCTTTCATCTTTACATTTCAGCTCAAATTCAACTTTATTTTCCTATTCTTGATTCTTGATTTGCTGTAGGATGTTTTTAAACTTGCTCAGTATTTGATGTTCTCCAATTTCATACTTCACTCCATGTACAAAGGTACTGTGTTGTTTTATTAATTTCATTTCCCGGATATGTTCAAATGGTAAGGTCATATGAAAACCTCTATCATATTTACAAATACATCGTTCTTCTATTATATAGTAGTAAATAGTTTCAGACAAATGGCTTATTATGCTATTCTTTGTATGCTTTTTTGTTATTGTTATGTATTATATAGTATTGTATATGTTACTTGGATATTACTGTCCACATGTAGGATGTTTTTAATCCACCCTCAAGTGTGGAGTTCTGGACTTTCATATTTGCCCCAATCTACATCCTACCGAGGTAATGTTATGTTCAATTTAAATCATACTATTTTTTCCACGTACAGGTAGAATACAAGACATAATGATTCATTTCATCCCATAATTTGTGTTATGATTCGTTTAAGTTCACCCTGGTAAGAACTTTTTTTTTGCCTGATCTCGAAACATCTATATTTAGGGGTGGGAAAAAACTGACCTAAAACTCGATAACCGACCCATTCAACACCACCCGACTCTAACCCAACCCAAACTAGAGGCCATTAAAACTCAAACAAGCCTGAGCGTAATGATCCTCCGAACGGGCACAAAAATGAAGAACCCGAAAAATTACTGTTTTTACGGTCCTAGCCATAACCCGACCGAACTTGACTCGATCCCACCCCAACTATATTATCTATACTTAGTATTCACCGAGTCTAATTACTATTCATAAATTATGGTACATTTCTTATGTTTTCAAGATAAAATACGTTGCTTTTCAACATAAAGAATTTAGACTATTGCTACATCCGTCCCTTAAAACTTTATATTCGGCTTTTAAATTCAATGGTGATAAAATCTGGAGAGTAATACTTTCGGGTTATATCTTAAAGATGACAGGTCCGTGTTAAATACCCGGCTCGAGCCCAAAACTTGGACTTTAATTCTGGTTCTAAAATTTAAGCCCGACCCGGAACAAAAAACATTATTTATTTAAGAAACTAAAGTGCTACTTAGTAGTAGGAATAATTATTTATTTTTGTAAATTTTACTTAGTAACCAAATTTTTGTTCATTTATGTATTATATGTATGCTACTTGCCTAAGTAGGACTTAACTGATGATGTGGCTAAATATTATGCACTAAGTAGGATAGCAGTTTAGTGTACAGATAATTTGTTTGGTGGCCTGGATGCTAAATTTTTCTTCATAAATTGGCTCATTTGTCATGAAATCAACAACGTAAAATGTTGTTGTAAGCATAGTAAATATGATATGATAATAAATAAATCACTATGAACATACGTAAACTATAATTCTATATTATCATATGTGATCGATGATACTAAGAACTATAAAAAGACATCAATTTTGTTCTTATTTTCTACTCAATGAACTCACTTATCAAATAATTCTGTATACAAATTTTTTTATGTGTCCTCGTCTTCAAAAGTATTACTATACTTTCATGTATGTCTCCAAACCATTAATGCTGCTTTCAATGATATACTTTAAGTAGATGATGTTATGTAGCATGAATATATATAATTTTGACAAATTTTTCTTACTCACTAAATTTTGGTTGTTACGTTATGTATTATATGTACACTACTTGGCTCACTAGGACTTATATGATGATGCGGTTCAATATTGGGAATTAAGGAGGATAGGAGCGTGTCCAAATCATTAGGTTGGCGGATGCCAAAGTTTTGTGGCCGGATCAGCTCAATTGCCATGAAATCTGCGACATCGTTGTTGTAAGTATCGTTGTTGCCATGAAATCGTTATTATATACGGAGTATGTAATATGTCACTATATTTTCATATGTCTCTAAACTATTAATTAAAGCTTTCGTTGATAGACTTTGATTTTCTAGCTATACGTTTACTTCAACTGTGTAATAAACATCTATAATCTTATTATATACTCCGTATGTAGCATCATTTCTCTCCAGCAACATAAAATTAATCCCAAAATTGGGTCTTCTAAATCTCTTAAGAATTTAATGGTTTTATGGCGAAAAAAATAAAAATAATGGACATTTGTTTTCTCAATTTCAAAGAAATTTTCAAACTTTTTTAACATTTTTAGATTTAATGACTTATTACTTACTTTCATATAGGGCAAGGATATAATGCAAAAACTAACCAAATCGGCTATCATTTATCGTGGAAGAGCGCATCCTCTAGATGGAAATAGAGACCAATTAATAAATGAACACACTTATCAAATCATCCTGTATACATTTTTATTGGTGTCCTCATCTTAAAAAATATCTCAATACTTTCATGTATGTCTCCAAACAATTAAAGCTTTTGATAATATAATTTTGATAATTTGTTCCTACACACTAAATTTTGGTTATTGTTACGTTGTGTATTATATGTACACTACTTGGCTCACTAGGACTTATATGATGTTGTGGCTGAATATTGGGAATTAACGAGGATAGGAGCGTGTCCAAATCATTTGGTTGGCAGATGCTGAAGTTTTGTGGCCGGGTCAGCTCAATTGCCATGAAATCTGCGGCATCGTTGTTGTAAGTATCGTTGTTACCATGAAATCCATTTTCTAAAAAAAAATTAGTCTTAAAAAAAACTAAATCTATGAACATACTCAAACAATAATGTTGTATTACCCTTTGTGGTTATATATACTAAGCAATATAACAATTAAAACACATCAACGTACCTTTGCTTTTATGTTCAATTTCATTTTTCAACTCATAAATTAGCCTTTATAGAATATAACATGTCAGATATTTCTAAACCTTCTCTCATACGTAGTATATAAAGTATACGTAGTATACTTTAATAGAATATAACATGTCAGATATTTCTAAACCTTCTCTAAAGTATACGTAGTATACTTTAATATTAATAGAATATACGGAGTATATAATATGTCACTATATTTCCATACGTCTTTAAACTATTAATTAAATCATTCGTTGATAGACTTTGATTGCCTAGCTATACATTAATTTACTTCAACTGTGTAATAAACATCTATAATCTTATTATATACTACCTCCGTCCCCCTAAGTTTGGGACAAGAGAAGGTGACACGGTTATTAATAAAAGTGGGTTTATGTGGTTGATATTGAATTGATAAAGTAAGAATAAAGTAAGAATGATTTAGAACCACACAAATTTTACCTAATAAGGTATGAGACAATCTTAGTGGGACGGACCAAAAAGGTAAAATGGGAGATTCATAGCGGGACGGAGGGAGTATGTAGTACCAAATTTCACGCAGTATCATCATTTCTCTCTAGCAACATAAAATTAATCCCAAAAATTGGGTCTTCTAAATCTCTTAAAAAATTATTGGTTTTATGGCCAAAAAAATAAAAAATAAAAATGGACATTTGTTCTCTTCAATTTCAAAGAAAATTTTAAACCTTTTTAACACTTTTAGATTTAATGACTTATTACGTACTTTCATACAGGGCAAGGATATAATGCAAAAACTAACTAAATCAGCTATCATTTATCGTGGAAGAGCACATCCTCTTGATGAAAATAGAGACCAATTAATAAATGGATCTGCTGCTTCTAAGAGAGCCAAGTTGTGTGATGGTACAACACCTTCTTCGAAACACAACTGGCCTACAAATCCATTTGTTGATATTACTAATGGTAACTACCTTAGTACCTTGACACAGTCCAAATACTTAATAAATCATAACACCATGATAAATGTATAATATGTGATAATTTATATCGTAGTTATTACATCAACAAGCTCATCGTTACATGACACCGCTGGAGGTCAACCGGTAATTACTACTCATGACAATGATATCGATGACATGATACGTGAGCTAAGCCTCCCTGAAACAACAATGGAAATTATTCACACGAATAATTTGATTCCAGAATTTCCGGATGGTCATACAAGTACAGTGGGTACGACGTACTTTAATTTATTCCAATTATATTACCATGTCAGCCATCTATTTAAGTAGTTATGTATACTTCAAGGATTTGTTGTTATTTTTTTATATAGAGGCTCAAATTGATGATACACTTGAAAATCATTTTGAAAGTGATGAAGATGTGATAGGATATGAAGGTATGTGACCAAATGATGCCGCAATTACATCTTTTATCTCTAAAACTTCATATAACTATATTAATATACCGTTTATTTATCTTATTTATACGCAGATGAAGATTTTGAATATGAAGCAGGCTCACATAAAGGTGCCACCATCTTTTACATAGTACATGGCTTCATTTTAAAGTGAAATCAGTAATACCAAATTTACTTCCAACTTTTTATACACTACTACGTATATTTAATATATACATATTTAATTACATAGGTTTGACCATGCACATTACAAATTAATTTTTTATACACTACTACATATTTCTCTAACCAACTTATGTCTCTAATGAACTCCATTGAGTATCAATCAATTAAAACATTATCAGTTTAAAAAAATGTAGACCTATCCAAAAAAAATTATTTTATATACGTTACTGTATCAGTTTAAAATGTCACTTCTTATAAACTTAATTTATACTATTTGGGTCCCTTTGAAATTCTCTCATGGCACAATGATGTAGTTATTCAAACCAGAATTAAATAAAGTAGTTGGAGTATGTTTTAAGAAATAATTTCAATAGGTTTATAATATAATGAGGTTAATGTTGATAACTTTTATGTTGTAAATGTAGTTTTTTTAATATTTAATATTCAATTTGTCATTTTAGATTTGTAATTTTTCCCTAACATGAAAAAGAGAACCTCCCTATGGGTCGTCCAAACAGGAAAATGGAAATCTCTCTATGAGACAGAGGGGGTACATATTACTATTTATTGGATAAATATGAGATTGTTGACTACTGAAGTTAATTGTAACTAATAAAATAAATACTTATAGCTACATTAAAAAATTTATTATTCATTTAAATTTTAATGCACAACTTCTCTTATTGAATTATTATTGATTCAGGAATCCCACACAATCTCAATGATTTGGACATTGTGTTATTAATCTCTTCACATTATATAGTGTTTTTATGAGTGTAACTTTTTATAATTTCCTATCATCAAGTTTCTTAAACTTGATTGGATTACATGAGTACAAATGTAACATTATTCGTGTAAAAATAAAGAAATATAGGTCTCAAATGTAATTACATTAAAATAAAAATAGTGGATAAAAACATAAATTAGTAACTTTTACTGACACGAAGTGGATTAAAATGTAAAAGTAGTGGATAAATATTATTTAATTTATTTATATTATTTACGATTCCTATATACATTTACAGACACACTTAAGTTGTATTTATTAGTATTTACATTCAAATATTTTATAAAACTTCAAGGAGGTTACTCCTAAAACATTACTAATAAAAATCAATGGATAAAAGTTGAATATATATAAGTTACTGCATGTAAAAAACATATTCACTATGATGTGACATTTGAATACAGTAATAGTCATTATGACAGATTTTTTCCTGCTACATTTCTTTTGATTATATATTTTGATTTTTTCAAATTATATATAAATCAGACTTACACTAATAGTTCTTTGTAAAAAATTCAATAGACATCACATATTTACTTTCTTCACTTGATTACTTATATAAATGTGAAAGCTACTAAATCAATTTAAAATATCTATTTATTCATGGACATATTCTATAGATGTATTATAGAAGAAAAATGATGTATAAGTGTATACGACTGTGCCAGTTAATTATATGTGTCATAAGTAATTCACTCAATTTTACGTTTTACTAATTACGAAGTAAAATAATCATTTTTTACTAATCAATGAAACTAAAATAGGATTCCAATCATTTTAAAACATGTCACTACTCTTATTTGTTGCACTCACCTTTAAGACCTAACTTTGTAATGCTAATTATTTGTTAGTAGTATTAACTGAATGAGTTTTTTCTTATTTACTTATGAGTGTGGAATTATGTACTAACTCATTGTATTTAACTTTATAAAGTCACTAAAAGTATCTACTATGTTACAGCGTTTCTAGATCTTGGTGATGCTACTTTTACATGTGAATTCTGTGATGCAATATTTTGGCATGCTGAAAAGTTAGCAAAAACAACTGCTTCTCACAGACCAATTTTCACCATGTGTTGTAATAAAGGGAATGTTGTCCTCCCTCCTATGAAAGAACCTCCATGTTTATTAGAAGGATTGATATTCGGACTTGATGAGCGTAGTAGGCATTTTCTAGAGAACATTCGTTCTTATAACTCCATGTTCTCATTCACTTCAATGGGTGGAAAAATAGATACACAAATAAATGATGGAAGAGCACCTCGAGTGTTTAGGTTGAATGGGCAAAACTATCATAGGATTGGTAGTCTTTTACCGGTTGATGGGAAACAACCTAAATTCTTGCAAATGTACTTATCAGACCCACATGAAGAGATTTCATACCGAGTGCAATCGGTGAGGTAATTAAATGAGACTTGCTAAATCAATTATACATTGCTTCTATGTTTGCATTGCAAAAGTTTAATTTACTTTACTTTTTGTGTCAAAAATATAGGGGTGAAGGTGGAACCCAATTACATGAAACACTCGTGTCAGACTTGAGAGATATGCTTGACACCTATAATGTTCATGCAAAATCATTCAGGATGGCGAGGGATAGATTCAATGACACAAATTGCACGTCATTGAAAATGAAGCTAATTGGAAAGAGAAATTCAGATGGACGTACATATAATACTCCAAATGTACATGAGGTTGCAGCACTAATTGAGGGGGACTTCGACATTAATAAACAGGAGAGGGATGTGCTTATAGAGACGAAGTCTGGTGACTTACAGTTTATTTCAGAGTTGAATCCCTCTTTTCTTGGCTTGCAATATCCACTTTTATTTCCATATGGCCAGGATGGGTTTCGAAAAAATGTTCTCTTAACACGTCCAACAGATGGAAGAAAGCATGTTACCATGAAAGAGTTCTTTTCATACAGGCTTCAAGAGCGTAACAATGAATCCCCTTACATTTTGAGATGCAAACGATTGTTTCAGCAGTTTATGGTTGATGGGTATACGATGATTGAGTCATCACGTCTATCCTATATTAGACAAAATCAAAAGCAGTTGAGAAGTGAGTTGTACAGTGGATTAGCTGATGCACTTGGACGTGGTGAAACAAATACATCTAGGCTAGGGCAGCTCATTGTACTACCAAATTCGTTCATAGGTAGTGCACGTAACATGATCCAGAACTACCAGGACGCGATGGCAATTTGTAAGTGGGCTGGATATCCACAACATTTCATCACATTTACATGCAACCCTAAGTGGCCTGAGATTGTACGCTACGTCAGGGAAAGAGGGCTGAATCCAGATGATAGACCCGATATCCTATGTAGGATATTCAAAATTAAGCTCAACCAACTCATCAAGGATTTAAAACAAAATAAGTTATTTGGAGAAGTGAAAGCAGGTATTATTTAGATTACATATTTTTCTATTCTTAATTAATATTTTAATCTACAAATCTTCATAAAATATTACATGTACTATTTTGAAAAATCTCTTAAATCGTATTTTTTTTATGCATGTAAAAGTCATTTACACAGTGGAGTTTCAGAAGCGAGGCCTGCCACATGCACATATAGTATTGTGGGTTTATGAAAAAGAAAAATATGTCTTGGCCACATATATCGATAAGATAATTTCAGCCGAGATCCCGGATGAGAGACGTGACCCAGAGTATTACACCATGGTGAAGGAGCTGATGATACATGGCCCATGTGGATTGTTGAACAAAAAATCGCCATGCATGGTTGGGAACCGTTGCACAAAATACTTTCCGAAGAAGTTTGTACAACAAACGACCATCGATAAAAGCGGTTTTCCAATCTATAGAAGAAGACAGAATGGTAGAACTGTGGCAAAAGGCGACATTCTTCTTGACAATAGGTTCGTTATTCCGCATAACCGCATGTTATTACTTAAGTATGGTGCCCACATCAATGTTGAATGGTGTAATCAGACACGTTCAATAAAGTATCTCTTCAAATATATAAACAAGGGCAATGATAGGATAACAGTTGCATTCTCTGAGAATGCTGATAGTAATAAATCTCAAATAGTTGATGAGATTAAGATGTATTATGACTGCCGATATGTCTCAGCATGTGAGTCTGCTTGGAGGATTTTTGGGTTCCCTATTCATTATAGGGATATTGCAGTTGAGCGACTGAGCTTCCATCTCCCAGGAGAACATAATGTGTTCTATAATGAAAGGGAATCCACGGCCACAGTGTTGAATCGTGCTACTGTTCTCTCAACCAAATTCACAGCCTGGATGAAGGCAAATGAAATGTACCCCGAGGCCAAGTTATTGACATATTCTGAGTTTCCTACTAAATTCACGTGGAAAAAAACATCAAAAACGTGGGTACCGAGGAAAAAGAGATTTGCAGTTGGGAGACTCTATTTTGTTCGTCCAGGCATAGGCGAGAAGTACTACCTTAGAATGCTTCTCAATGTGGTTAGAGGACCGACCAGTTTTGAGGAATTGAAGACCGTTAATGGTACTATTCATGCCACATTCAAGGATGCTTGCTATGCAAGAGGTTTGCTCCAGGATGACAAAGATCACATTGGTTGCATTAAACAAGTAAGTCATTGGGGATCTGCACACGCTCTCCGTGAGTTATTTGTTACCCTGCTGACGTCAGATGAACTTTCAAAGCCGGAATTGGTGTGGGAGCAATGCTGGGAGGATTTATCAGATGATGTACTATACAACATAAGAAGGAACCTCAATGATCAAGGTAAGCATAACTATTGGTACTATTTTATTCTTATTTTTAACAAGCTACTAAAATCAAATTCTAAATCATTTGATTGCCTTGCAGAGTTGGATTTAAGTGCAGCTCAAATTAAAAATTATGCTCTTCTAGAAGTTGAAAAACTTCTCCAACAAAAAGGGAAGTCTCTGCGCAACTATGCAAACATGCCTTTTCCTTCCGTTTCTCAAATCGATTCTCTTGAACACAACCTCATACATGAAGAGATGAGGTATGATGTTGATGCTTTATCTGAGGAGCATTCCAAGTTGTTGCTAGACATGACTGAAGAACAACGCAAGGTTTATGACATACTCATTGCTTCAATCAATGGAAATCACGGCGGCATCTACTTTGTGTATGGTCATGGTGGTACCGGAAAAACATATTTGTGGAGAACTCTGTCGGCAGCTGTAAGATCTCGTGGAGGTATAGTATTGAATGTGGCATCCAGTGCCCTTGCATCACTTCTCCTTCCAGGTGGACGTACAGCGCACTCTAGATTTGCTATTCCACTGACAGCGGCAGAAGACTCAACATGCAACATCAAGCATGGTAGTGCATTGGCCAAGTTAATTCAAATGGCAGGGTTAATTATTTGGGACGAGGCTCCAATGACAAATAAGTATTGCTTTGAAGCTCTTGATCGCACTATGAGGGACATCCTTCGATTCACTGTCACGTGTGATGCTACTAAACCTTTTGGTGGGAAAACAGTTGTATTTGGCGGTGATTTTAGACAAATATTACCAGTTATTATTCCGAAAGGCAGTCGACAAGATATTGTACTTGCAGCTTTGAACTCTTCCTACTTGTGGCAATTTTGTAAGGTATTGAAACTTACAAAGAACATGAGGCTTACAGGTGACAAAAATTCTGCTGTTTTGAAGAGTTTTGCAGATTGGATCTTGCAAATTGGAGATGGTGTTCTTGGTGATGATGAAGATGGTGAATCAATGATTGAAATACCTCAAACTTTTCTTGCTCCTTTCATATCTAATCCTATAGAATCTATTGTGAGGTGTACATACCCCGATTTCTTGGAAAATGGAACAAGTCCTTCTTATTTGACTTCTAGAGCCATTCTTGCACCAACAATAGAGGATGTAGATATGATAAATAATTACATGTTGAGTTTGAATACTTCCGAAGAGAAGATCTATCTAAGCAGTGATTCAGCATCCTCTTTTGATTCTGAAAACAATCTTCTTGACGAGATCCATTCCCCTGAATTCCTTAATGGAATACGCTGTTCTGGAGTTCCGGCCCATGAAATCAGGTTAAAGGTAGGTATACCTGTGATGCTCATGAGGAATATTGATTTCTCTTCGGGGTTATGCAATGGCACTCGACTTATTGTGACCCGACTTGGAGATAATATTATTGAGGCTCAAATATTGACCGGGACAAATGCGGGCAAGAAGGTCTATATTCCAAGGCTGACACTTACACCATCCGATGTTAGATTGCCATTCATGTTTCAGCGTAGGCAATTACCATTGGTGGTTAGTTACGCGATGACGATCAACAAGAGTCAAGGTCAGTCGCTTGAAAGAGTAGGCATCTTCTTACGTCGTCCGGTCTTTACTCATGGTCAGTTGTATGTGGCGGTATCTAGGGTTACAAATCCATCAGGATTAAAATTCATGATATGTGATGATAAGGGCGAGCCTAGCAATTCTACACTTAATGTAGTGTATAAGGAAGTGTTCAATAATTTGTAAACGCTTTGTCGTATTATATTCCATACAAGTGACTAAAATATTAAAATTCATGTTTTATTATGACGTTTATGATCGATCTTTTTGCATTACATACACTCTCATAGTAAAACACAAAATATGTCTCATATATCATATAAATTTATAATACATGTACGCAAATTAGAAATCGAAATTACTAAAATTTAAATACCCGTGCAACGCACGGGTGGAAAACTAGTGATTAAGTAATGTTTACAATTAAGTCGTAAGTAAACATGGCTTAATGGTTGCATGATTAAGTTGTCATTGTCATTAAGTTTATTAAGTCCTAAGTAAACAATTCCTTAATAGGTTTTGAACATGGGAAGAAGTTTAGGGCCTATTTACTGACAGAGATATTTTCCAGTTCTCTATTTATGTTTTCCGTTCTAAAATTTTCTATTGTCATTTTCCCGTTTTTCTATCTCCAATTTTCTGTTTTCATTATTTCGTTTTCCATTTTCAAATATGAAAACAAGTTCATCAAACTTTTTCACCTGATTTTGTGACCGACTAGAAAATCGAAAGTATGGTACCGGTCCGAAACCGAACCTAGTACAACCCAAGTAAAGTACCAGGTCCCACAAATAGGAAAGTCGAAATCGAAACCAGCTGGTCCCGACCGATCTCAACGGTTAGTTTTACGAATCCTTTTCTCATTTCCCTATTGGTTGACAATTCAACGGCTCTTTTAAAACTCTTCACTTTAAAAATAATTTCAAAAAACCGAGACCGAACCACCGGGTCATTGACCGGCGCGGGCAGGAACTATCGGGTCATTGACAGGACTGGCCGAGGATCGCCCGGTTGTCGATCGGACCGAACACAGATCGTCGGGTCATTGGTCGGACAAGATAGGGACCACCGGATCGTTGATCAGATGAGACGGGACTGATGGGTGGTTGATTGGACAGGGCAGAGACCGCCGAATAGTTGACTAGACCGGACGGGGACTGTCGGGTCATTGACTAGACCATATCAGACCCAGATTGCCCGACCATCAACAAGGACGAACAGGTACCACGTGGTCGTGGGTCAGACGGAACAGGGACCGTCTGTGACACTCCAAAAATTTAAATGAAATAAAATAATTAATTAAAGAGGAAATTTTAAGATGTGAGAAAAGTGACATTTCAAATAAAATTTTAAGATGTGAGAAAATGTTAAGTAAAATTTTAAAATGTTAAAAATTAAACAGGAAATTTAAGAAGTTTTTATCTTATACAAACAGCATTCCGTATTAGTTATTAAAAGAGTAAAGGGTCAGTTTGGTTCTCGAAGATGCAAAAAAGGGGTCAAATAAGTCCGTATATAGAAGATTCTGTCCGGACGTGCCATTTGAGGTGGCTCCCGGTAGAATTTTTTGATGAAATTTTTTGAGCATCTTATTCATTAAGTCTAGTTTACTCATATCAAATTTCAACTAAAAATTCAATCGGGGAGGCATTCAAATGAATTCTTGAAGATAATTGCGCTTTTAACGGCACAGTTATCTTCAAGAATTCATTTGAATGTCTTCCCGATTGATTTTTTATCTGAAATTGGATATGAGTAAACTAGACTTAATGAATAAGATGCTCAAAAAATTTAATCAAAAAATTCCACCGGGAGCCACCTCAAATGGCACGTCTGGACAGAATTTTCTATATAAGGACTTATTTGACCCCTTTTTTGCAACTTCGAGGACTAAACTGACCCTTATCCCGTTATTAAAAGGATACCTTTTAGGGTATGTTTGGTTCAAGTAATGTCAGATTACCATGGGAATGTTAGATGACAGGGTATGTTAGATAGATGGGAATGTGATTAATGTGTAAACCATTTGTGTTTGGTAACGATTAAGGGAATGTGACATTAAGTTGTTTGGTTGAATGATATCTTATATTGCATATTTGGTGAATTACTTAAATACCCTTTAAATATTTGTCTCTTAACACGTTAAACTTATTACAACCTATAATTAAAGTAATTAAAATTATAAAAAATAAAACATCTTCATAATAATTAAAATCAAAACTAGTTGAATTAATTTTAAGCAAAGTATGTCTAGTTGCACAAATGACAAATTTGGAAAACTAGTAAAAGTGACTTCTCCAATTTATTAAGGAAAATATAGAAATATCTCATTTGTTTTTTGTTTGAAAAACGATTTGATAAACACATTTCTTTATTTTCCTTTCCCAGTTTTCTAGCAATTTTTTTTAGTAAACACATTTTCCTTATTTCAGTTTTCGAGAAAGCAGTAAAATTGTTAGTAAACCGCCCTTAACCTTTCACTTTCACTAACTACTTGTATCATACAATATTCGTCTCCAAATATGATATATCATTGATACACAAAGTGTGCCAAATTTAGATTATGCATAGACGAGCTTCTTAGTTTAATAAATCGCAAAAGGAGATCACAACAACTAAAGTGACAACCAAGGAGCATTTTGAAAAGGAAAACGATGTTTGTACTTACTTTTATACCCACTTTTGTACCCACCTTTGTTTGTGAAGTTATGTTTTTTATCTGTGACTTCCTTCACAGACAAAATATGTCTGTGAAGGAATTCAAAGACATATTTTGTCTGTGAACCGGCTTTACAGAAAAAAAAATAGCCTTCACAAAGGTGGGTATAAGATAGGTACAAAGTGGTGGATACAACAAGCATGGTTGTTTTGAAAATGGGGGTTTCAATAAAAAATGGACCATGTTTGACCTAAACATGGTCGGTCAAACTTAATACATAGTTGACTTCAAAATTGGTTGAAAAAGTCAAACCTTATCGAACATGAAATTTGGTTAAACAGAGCAAACAGAATCGAAACCATGTAACTAAAACGTCCTCGTTTTGTTAGTTGTAATGGTCATTAGTCATTATCTACTTCCTTACTAATAAAGTTGAACCTTGAAATTGAAATTGAATTTTCAACTATTTGCTATTGAGTACAATTATGAATTTACATATTACTATTGAGTCCAATTAATTCAGACCACATTTGCAAGTAATATAATCTTAAGGCAAGTTATGTAAATCACGTTTATTCTATATGTTAATACGACAGTTACATTCCAAAATTAATTAATGAGCTCATTAAAGTGTTGAAGTATCAAAAATTATTATTAAGTAAGTAGATTTCGTATCATTTTATTCCAATAAATGGAATCACAAGAGCACATTGAGGTCTAAAAATCTGTAGAAAATGCGCAGTGCAAGTAATTATTATTCGTCATATATATTAAATAAATTTCATCTACGTCTTCTACTATTAAAGCTAATTCCAACTCATCATTTAATTTCCTATTCCCATAAATATTATCGCACTACCTACAATATTCATCATGGAAGTGCGGAGACAAAATTGTTGCATGTCGCGCGCGTCTTTGATTATAGGGCAGGATGAAGATGTGCTGATACGCGAGGCATGTTCTAAGAGTTTAGACGTTACACCAGGAAACATCATGAGTAACTAACTACATGCTATTGTTGATCGATGATCTAGGAGTTACATATCTTAGTTCAATTAATATTATTCCTTCACACATTGGTACTACTTTCCATGTTGATATGTGCAATGTCGAATATCCTAATAGAGCTTCAATGGTTGGATTGCCCAACCATGTCCTTCATTTGAAAATCAGAACCCCCGATAATGTTACTGAGGAATATTAATCATGCATAAGTTTTATTCAATAGAACATAATTGGTCATAACCAGATTGAAATAAGAAGTATGACAAGTCATAATTTGAATAGTTATGAAAGATAAAGTTTACATATTAAAAATCTCATTGTCACCATATGACAACTTTATTCAATTTTCGAATAAAGCAATTTCTTATGAGGGTAAGTTTTTCAATGACAATCAATAAAAGGGTCAAGGTTAAATGTTAACACATAAAATATGATTTATACCTTGAAAGAGAATTTTCATTAATGACCAATTGTACATTGCAATACCAAGAGTACGTAATGCGTAAAGATATCTTAAGATATTCATATGTTCAAAAGAAACATTTTTTTTCACCAACACGGTAAATGTCGTTTATAAAGAGGTTTCCCAATTTAAACCTAACTTAACAATGTGATTTTGGTATGTCAGTGTTACATTACAATGTCACTATTTAATATATGTTGTTTAGTTAAATTACTATTCATAATCAACAAAAATTTATTTGAAGGAAAACGATTAATTATTTATCTATTCTATAAAATATATATCTTACAAAGTATTCAAACATGGAAAAATTGACTGGAATAATCCGAACTATGACCCGTCCGCTTTTAATAATCCCTACTATCTATTATATCTGTTTAATCCGTACTTAGGAGTGTGTCTTCCGTTAGTAGACCATTACCGATTGCTCTAATTAATAGGCGGTCATACACTCACGTGATAGGGCACGTGTATATTTAATACTCTTACCTTCCGTTTATCATCTTCGCATCTCTTCATCTATCTTTCTTCGTTGCTCTCTGAACATTATATGCTCGCTTCATCTATCTTCTCCTGGCGCTGCAACACAAATTACCTAATTTGTATGGTCATATGAGTCGCCAGTTGAATGAGTTCACCGTCTTGGTCATCGTCTCGTGGAGGAAGGATGAAACCCAGATCGAGTGTTCAATTGAATGCCACCATGGGGTGTGTTCAAAACCTAGGCCTGTTTATCAATGGGTTAGGGATTATCCACCCATGGCGGTTGCAGATGAAAAGAAAAGGGAAAAGGGAAGAATAATAATCGACCATCTTGATGAGGAGAAAAAAGATTTAGAAGACCAAATTGCAAAGTTGAAAAAGAAGAATCAAAAGCTCAAAGCAAAAATTGAGGAGCTGCCGATGTTAGTTTCCAAGTATGCGAAAGGAGAGAAGTGCTCATTTATTGGTCTGCTTATCTCTTGGATTGTGTTTGTGTTGTGTTGTATGGGAACTCCAAGTGATGACTATGTTATTGTTTGATGGTGTGTATTGTTAGATTAGTAGAAGTGTGTGAACTGTGAAGTGTTGTATGTGAGGAGAGTGTTGTAGTACTAGTATGTTTTTGTTGTGTGTT